TTAACATTAACAGAAACTAAATTAGTTAATCATGTATTAGAAATGGCATATGTATGATCAAAATTTAAAAGCGGAGAATTGTTAATTGCTAATGCCGATATAAAAAAGTCAACCTCTTCCTCATTTGTTGGATTTGATGGATATTCCATAAACTCTTCTATTTCTCAATGATCATTAGATAGTGATGGTTATTTGTCTATGTTATTCAATATGTTCTCACTTATTTGATGGCTTTCCGATGACACATATAGAGAATTAGGGATGTAAGCTTCAGTTGGAAATATGTTTGGATCATATGGATAGATTCCACAAGCCCGAAAAACAGATTTAATATTGTTTACAGTAACAGATTTGCTCCAAGCTTGCTTCATCAAGCTACAAAAACTTACTTTCGAAACTAGTAAAAAGTACTAATCAAATTCTTACATGCTTTACTGTAAGCTTTTTTTGAGTGGGCCAAATACTGTCCTATCATAAGGTTGTAGCCAGCAGGAAATGTGCGCAGGCAATTCAACAATGTGTTTTTTGTTTGCCACAGCCACATCTAATAACTCAACAATGTTTTGTGAGTCATGTCCATCAAGAATGAGAAACTGAGGTCTGTCAGAACCAATATTTGGAAGAAATGACTTTGTATACCAGAGAAATGCAATGCCCTGCTTTGTCCAACTATTGTCTGAAGCACTCTATGTGCTTTTTTCAGGGACATTTTCAATTTAAAAATTGCACAAAGATCTTATAGCTTTCCCTTTTACTATAAAATGTGGAGGAATAGAGTTACCGGTTGCATTAAAGCATGCTTTAACAGTAATTGTTTCCCGATTACCTGAAGAACGACTATGAAGATACTTTACTCCTATTTTAGCAATTATTTTTACAGGGCAAAAATCAAACTGCACACCCGTCTCGTCCATATTCTAAATGTTTTGTGGTTTATTATTTAAGTTGTTTTCCATTAACACCTTTTTGAAAACAGAAAAATATTTTTAAATTTTAAAAGCATTCATACATTGATGTCTAATAGCAGCTGTACCTTTTGGTTGACGCAAAGTAAAGCGCTCATGCTTTTTGCACATTCCACGCCACCATTTTTTAGAAGGTGTTCCATTCTTAAATGATTTTTTATGTTTTAAAGCAAAGTTTTTTACATATTTAAAAAATTGAGATCGACCGAATCCTAATTCTAAAGATGCACAACTGCATGCAAAATCTACTATTTATTTTTTTCTTCTGGAGTTAGAGTATTTGTATGTCCAGGTTTGGCTCCAATTTCGGTTACTCCAGATCTTCGAACTTGCAACGTTCTTTTTAGAACGCCAACAGCTTTACAACCAGCTCTCTGTGAAATTCCATTTTTTACAGCTTCAAGTGCTGATATCATAGATGCATAATTCCATAAACAGTGTTATCCACGTTTACTTGTAAGCATTTTGATTTTCTTTGAATTATTTTTATCTATTTTATTTTTCTTCATTTTTTCCATTTTAAAGAAAATAGAAAAAAATAAAATTATTATGACTGTTGTGGTTATTCCTGTCAGTTTTTTACATTTATCTTACTGTATATGTATGTGTATTATTAACAGCAATAATATAATATTTATAACACTTTTTAATGGTATATGTTCATGTTTTTATGTAACATATATATATATATATATATATATATATATATATATATATATATATATATATATATATATATATATATATATATATATATATATATATATATATATATATATATATATATATATATATACATATGAATATGTGTATATATATATATATATATATATATATATATATATATATATATATATATTTAGTTTAATGTTCATGAATTCATACCTGGTGTGGCTTAGATTTCATATTACCATATAAATATATATACATATATATGTATAAATATATACACATATACATATATATAATATTAATATTGTACTTATAAATTTTGAAATAAAAAAAAAATATTTAACAATGTACAAAATACGCATAAATACATATAAAGTTTTAACAACATTATATGCCAATTTAACTTTCAGTTCAAGTGATTTACAAACGCATTACATTTGTAATCATAATAAGTTTGAAAATTGCAAACATCGAGCTAACGGATACATAAAACTTTAAAAATATTTTTAAAATGTTACTGAAGTATTAGCAAGTCCATATAAAAACTTTAAGTACATATATCAAAATTACAAGGTTAAATTAATATACTATTTATTTAAAACAGACCAATTCCACCTTCTATTAAATATTTTAGTCGGCCAGAATAAGGAGGCGGCCAGATTTATGTCGCTTTACCCTACATTAAAAGATATCAGAAACAATACATCTTTTGAACTTTCAAAAGACGTCCAAAACGTTCAAAAGACGTCCAAAACGTTTAAAAGACGTTCAAAATGCTTAAAAGACATTCAGAAGACGCTTAAAAGATGTCCAAAACGTTCAAAAAAAGTTTTAAATCTTTTGTGCGTCTCGTGCCGACTAAGTAGTATAATTTTTATGATAAAAATAATTTTTGATCATTAGATCGTGCATCAAATATTTAACAGCATAATATCGATATAAAATATAATATCAAACAAAATTACTGTAAATATGTTTCCATATATATAGATTACCTGTTTTTTTTTCTCAACAGAGAATAATAAGAAACGCTATTAAAGGATAGTATTTTGTTGAGTACAAAATCGTTAAAACATTCATTTTAATATGTTTTGGCAAGACAGTAACTGTTAGAAAAAATATTTTAAAAAATAGAACTTGTTTTTGTTTTTTTTAACTTTTTTATTTTAGGTGCCCCAAGAAGTCTATACAGTAATAAATATACATTCTATTCCTTTAAAAAAAAAGCAAGTGTCGAGAGTTGCTCAATTTTTGCGGCTCCGGCACCGGGTCCACCAGAAATCAGCGGCTCTACGGCTCCACGTTTCCGGCTCGGCACCACAAACCTGCGCAAAAGTAGATCCCAATTAAGGTCATGTGTTCATTATCTAAGGTAGGAAAAAAATGCAATACAACTTTACAAATATGCCTAAAAAATAGATAATTAAAGATTGTGACGCAGATCAACTGTTTATTTGCATTACCCCATATACAATACCCCAAATACAAGTCTTATTGAACTATAACAAAGTTGGGTTATTGTTTTATAAATTTTTGTAAATGTAATAAAAAATATTGTAAATGGAGTATAGTATCTGTTTTAAATAAAGAATTATCTAAATATTTAGCATTTATATGTATCTAATAGTATTATTGTTGATTTGTTGAATTTTCTTTTTTTTTTAGTTGTCAAGTTCTTCAATTCTTTTCCTACAGCTTCTGAATCACCTAAACCTTTCTGTTGATTCAATACAAGAAAAGATATGTTTGCATTTACTTTATCCAAACGTTTTTGCTCTCTGATTTTTGCTGGTCTATGGCATTGTTTATCTTCCATTACATTTTTTTTTTTAAACTCATTTATAGTTAATTCATTGGTGGCAATTTTCAACTCGTCAATTAGTGAAGTATGGGTAACTTTTTTATTCATTACTGTAATCAATAACGGTTCACCAGCAGACGATTCAACAGATACAGATGCAACCTCCTGCGATCTTGTTTTTTTTTGGAATGTTTGTCCAATAGCTCAGATTTTTTGCTTTTTGTTTTGCTGCAACCATTTTTAACTCGTTTAATTTTGTTTGACATAAACATGGTTCCAATTTTAATTCTTTCCATAAATTCTGCGCCTCTGTTAGTTGGTCGTGCTTCGAATTTTACGGATATTCAAGAACATAAGTATTCACTAGATCTTGGTAAAGATCTGACATTAATTAATTTTTTTTTTTTTTTTGAACATGTCTGTTGATATAAACTCATTTAAATGTTAATTTTTGACAAGAAATACAAAATGAATTATTTAAAGTTATGTGTTTTAAAAAACTCGAACAACAGTTTCTAACAAACTACAAACCTTAAAAATTAACATTATAAGCAGATTAACAACTACACATTTAACCATATTTATATATCATTATAAACACATGATAACGTTTCTTTATTATTAAAAACTAGTTTATAATATAATAACATTAAATAAAAGCCATGAAATTTACAAAACTTTTACAGAGTTACATTTTGGCAAGAAAATTATTTTATTAAAAGTTCGATAAATATTTCTGAATTTTACACCTACGTATAATTCAATATAAAACGAGGTTAAAATGAACTATCTACAAAAAAGAACAGTTGAAATGAGCATTTAATTTTCGCACCCTTTTTTAAATAGAATTTTACTGTATTTTTTTTTCTTTCTGTTGAGAATCTGAAGTTTAAGAAGAAACCTTTATGTATACGAAACATTATCTATACGATAAATGATCATGATGTTATAAATACGGTAAATGATCATGATGTTAACTATACGATAAATGACCATGATCTTTGAACTTTAACATTATGCGGATATGCAACAAAACATAATTATTATATTTTACTAAGATTAAAAAAAATTTATTATATTTTACTATAAATAAGTTATTTAAGAATTATTATAGTGAAAAAAATGTCACTCTATTATAGAAAACGCTACAATGCATTGTTTCGTGACGTCAAGTGGCTTATGATTGTTGCAGTCACTGACTGTAGAAAGTATTCTTTTGGTCTAGGTGGTCCTATATAAAATGCTAATTGCGTGACGTCACTTTTGTTTTAACTAACCCACCCACCCACGTCACTTTTTGTCACGCTTTCAAGAGGCCCACCTATCTCCACTCTCCAGCGTGACATAATTATGCGATGGCCCCTAATATATATTTATATCTTACAAATGGTTTGTATATAAAAAATCTTAGATTTTGGAGATAATTGCTTTCAATTTTATTAGTTGTTTATTTTCAAAAAGAAAACAAATGTTAACTAGTAGTGGTAGTGATAGAGAATTAAATAAAGATATAAAAAAACAAATAAGTTAATTTTAAAATAATTAAAATAAATTGTAATTACCATTCCATAACACACCACTATCTTGAGTAATAAAGCAAGCTGGATTTTGATAACTAAAAAACAAAAAAAGGAAACAAAAAAAAACTTTTTAGAATAACGAAACTTTTTTTGCATTAATATTAAAGCATACATGTTTTTTTTTTTTTACATCTTCCTCCATTGTAATTATTCAAAACTCAATAAAACATATTTTTTTTAATTTGGTAAATTTTGTCTTTGAAACAGCTAACTGAACCTTTTAACATTAAATTTATAAGCTTTTAAAAAATAGGGTATACAAATAATTTTTTTTTATAATAATAGATATAAATAAAAATTGTGACTACTTTAACAAAAACTCGCAATTAAAGTGAGCAACTAAATTGACCTCTAACTTTAACAGTTTAAAAAAACTATTAGGCCTAAAGTGTTTCTTTAAAACAAAAAAACTAACAAAAAAAGAGAGAAACGTCTTAGTAATTTTAGATGTTTAATTGTTTTCTAAAAATAAATTTATTTTCAGTTAAGATAACTAATATTTTAACATAATTCAGTTTTTAGCAAACTGTTACTTAAATATCATAGACCGTGGGCCATAGTATAATAACACGCTTTAAAGATAACTTTTGTCGTGCAGTCGTGAGATCTAAAAAATTCTAATGTAAATGAGCATTTTAGGTTGTGGAAATTCTAAAATAAATATTTCTCAATTCAAAGACCCGTAAAACTATCAAAAATTTAGAAAAACCATCAAAGTTGTTCGATCGATTTTTTACGATTTTTCGTGTTAAATAAGTAAAAAAAGAAATTTTTTTTCATAATTTCATTGGAATATTAATTTCAAAAGATTTAAAGACAAATAAAAAAATTTTTTTTGAGTGTTAAACGAAGGCATCGTATTAACGTGTTGTTATCGTGTAAAATTATTAACTATATCAATTTATAGTCGATTCAGGCAAGCCAATAATATATTACAACCTTATTCTCTACAAAAAAGCGTTTTAAATTATTTTTAATGATAATAGTTTAAAACTAGTTGCTAATGGAATTTGGTTTAATGTAATACAAGTCTTCTAATAAGTCTGCTTCGTATTTGTCATAATTATCAACACCATCATTGTAAAGTTCGTCGTCAGCAGCAGAATCATTGTTCTCCGACTAATCTGAACACTTTAAAGTTGATTTATATACAAACAGCGTTTAGTTTCACAACAAGCAGTAAAGCTACACTGTACGAAGTTCATTTCACTTCTAGCGCTAGTCAGGGTTAGCGCTTGATTCATAAACCATTTAATAACGACTCCTGCTTCACTAACTAACCTAAAATACGTTTGCATTATACACTCATTAGGCATCAAATCACTCATAAAATTGCATTTCGTTCATTATTTCTTTGCTTCGCAACTTAAAAAAAGTAATCCTGCATCTTTTATTTCCGCAAAAACTTTATTTTCCACAAACCATTTTTATAAAATTTTATAGAAGTTTTTTTATTATTTAGTTCAAAACAATATGTTATTAATGAATAACAACAAACGATTGTTCATGAGCTGATCCTCATCACAAATGTGTTAATTTTTTTTTGTGAGTTTCAAAATGGTGTCGTCATTTGCAATAAGTTAGATTTAAATTAAAAACTTTTCACTCCCGTACTTAAATTCAGGTTTTGGTATTTCATTGATTGTTCGAATTTTTTTTTTTTCGTTGTATTTAGATTATTGAAAGCTTGTCTCCTTAGTTTATTGGCTTCTTTGCTGTTTTTTTTTGCATTTTTCAATATTTAGGTGTTTAAATTGTTTGATTTAAACAAAGAATATTTTATCTCTTAAAATATCTAACAAATGTTGTTTTTATAGTTACTTTTGAAACTAAAAACAAAAAATAAAAGATAAATTTTATGTCACAATATATAGATTCTTGCATTAAATCCGAGGATCATGAGTTAAAGATTATAAACTTAAAAATGCAAATTTTGTGAATACAAATTATAAGCAAACATGTGCTCAGCACAGGTTTAAAGTTGTCAAATTACATAAGTCAAAGATGGTTGTTTTATTGCGATGCATCCTCCATCATTATTTAAAGGTATACCAGTGTCTCATATCCCAATAGTCTAGAAAGCAAGATTTAATTGGGTTATTGTGTAAGTTAAATATTTAACCTGATGATTTTAAAACAATAAAAAAAAAAATCTATTCAATTTATTTCAATTGTAAAAATATTTTAAATTAATGATAAACAACTGTGAAGAATACTTTAATTGTGTTAAAAGAGCAAAATGTATATCTTAATATCATAATAACGTTATTATTTATTTTTACTTTTTTATTTTCATCACTTACAAACATTTTACAATTTCCTTGTTTCAGAAGCTTCAACAACAAATTTTAAATAAAATTTAAGAACAACACAAGCAAGTAAAAGACAGAAGCATTGTCATAAAGCCCGTAAAGTAAGCATAAAGTATTTTTACAAATCTTTCATTATATATAGATCTTCTATATTTTTTGCATATGGAACAAAGTTCTTAAAATAATTAGATTTTTAAAACTTGACCTAGGTAAGTCAAAGTTATGGATTACTTCAAAATTAATCACTAATACTTAACTTCGTTAAGTATTTGTAATTAATTTTGGAAAATCGGGTAATAAAAGAATATGATGCATGTTATTTTGATATTTAAACATAAATAACAAGATTTGGAACAGGGTTAACTCATAGACAGTATAAGCTATATTTTACCAAAACAACGCATAAATTGAGCGTACTTATGCAAACTGCATATAATTCTACTGGCTTGTTTTTGTTTTAAATATATATATATATATATATATATATATATATATATATATATATATATATATATATATATATATATATATATATATATATATATATATATATATATATATATATATATATATAAATGATAAAAAAAAGTATTTGCTTGAGCAATATTGCAATAGCTTATATAGGTATGGATAAAAGAGTAATATAAATCTATTAAACATTTTTTACTTAGTAGGTGATTTTTTTTATGCAAAATGCCTGTAGTTTTTAAAGGGAGTCTTTACTACTTTTATGCCTTTTGGCCCATAATCACGCCAAGCCGATCGTGTTTAGATTTTTACACTAACGTATTGTTAGTGTCTTACGTATTACCGGCTAAAAAATCTAAACCCGATCAGCTAGGCGTCATAGTTATCTGGTAAATCTGGTATCTGGTAAAAATATTTTTTGGCCAAAATATATATTTTTTTTCTAGAAAAAAAAATCTAAAAACAAGAAAAATTGTTGTAGTTTTATATATTTAAGCCAAATATTAAAAAATAGTTTTTATATTATAAATTTTTGGTAGTTTTTTTGATAGAATTGCTTAAATCATCTACCAAATAAAATTCACTATTTAATAAAAACATTGATCTATAGTAGCTTCGATCATTATAAAATATTGTGCAACATATAAAATTGAAACAACGTTTCTCAAATATAAATGACAATGGGATATCGTTATACTTAGATTATCTTCATCTTCTTCAAACACCTCTATAAATAAACGAAATGGGTAAAATAAAAACTTTGCAGTAAAATCATTAGAGCAGATTTTACACAATTCATTCAACTTAATATTTGAATATGTTACTTTCTCTGCGTTTTAAATCAAGATAAACTCATTAATGTTGGGACAATAGTTTTGTTACAGGTTGAACAATTAAAATGAATTGTCTAAAAATCTATTAAAAAACGAATAAACACATTGCATTCTGTATTAAGAGTACTGAAAATTAAAGAATCATTTAGTTTTTATCTCATAACAAGAAGACTCTATATAGTTTTTACTCTATCCTATTCACAAGTTTCAATGAGAGAAAGTATATCGAGTATGTGATTATATATTTTGATATCTTTTTTATTCTCTTGTAATACACTTCTGATGTTTTGTGACAATAAAGATGAGCACCAAATAGCCAACAAAAAATAATCAATTGTGCGAGTGTTCTGAATGATAATACTTCGGTATAATTGACACAGAAAAAAATAATTTGTATCCATTTTAAAATCATCTTTATTTAACAAAATACAGCCGCCCCATTATGGTAAATACTTTTAAAATGATCTAAAGTTCGTTTCATTAATTGTTTTTATTCAATAGTGAAATATTTAATTCAGAATCAATTATGTTCAGTTCTACATTAGATTTAGCTTTCGGTTGTATGAAATTCGTTGATTTATCTCGTTTCATAGTTTTATTCCGTTCTAATATTTCTTTTTCAAATTCGCATTCTGATTCATTTTCACTTCGTAAAAAAAACATAAGCCTTGAGTCTGGATTACGAAGTTTTTCTAAATACTTTCCACAACACAAATAAAATATAATGCTATTAATGTGACTACAACAACCACATGTTCTTAAACCAGAAAAACACCGACATGCCCAAGACAATACTGATTCTGGACTATCAATATTTGGCATGTATTTAATAAATAACCTATACTTAGTAGCGTTTGAATGTCTTGACTGAATTTCAACGGAAATCAATTTATAATGTTGAGTTTGTTGAATATTTTTATCAATCAAAATAATATATTATATATCCATTTTTATTTAAATGTTCTGCTAGATAACTGTAACTTTTCTTTATTTGAGAGCTACCAAATGCGATGCATTTTCGCATATCATCTATAGAAAACTTTGGGAAATTGTTTAAATCTAACGCGTCGATTGGTTCAAAATGTTTTTTACTTTTATTTTTTGTGTTCAAAATATATGATTCCAAGTCATTTTTGAAATTAATTTTATTTTTCATCAGAATTGCAATATCTTCACCGTCTTTTTTATCGGATATATATTTTACTTGAAAACAGTTAATCAAAGAAGCAGCTATTCTAACATCAGTCATTATATGTGAAAGCATTGTATTTCTTATTTTTTTCAAAGATTTAAAAGATTGTTTAAATGTACCGTTAACAGCCTCGATAACCCATCTGCATTTTGTAAAAACCTAGTAAGGTTTGCTTGTAAACTAGTTAATTGACTTTTAGAACATGTTGGCATTCGTAAACACTTTCTATGTAGTTTTCAATTCATCAACGATATCTCTAAAACCTCTATCTAAAACGAATAAATCATTGGGCTCAACTAGTTCTCTTATATCGTTTTTGGTTTTTAAAATATTACTTAATATAGTTGCGTCAATCATAGTTGCAGCAAAAGGTCCATAAACATCAATAATAAAACCATTTGCAGTGCATACTACAAAAGGCTTAACTAAATGTATTTTTATTTGCCCACTGTACAGTTTTCGTTGTAAAGTATTATTAGAACTTTTTTCACAAAATAAATAAGTACCATCGGCTATAATTACTAGCTGTTTGTCTTTTAAGTCAAACAAATCTTAGATCATGTCTGTGTTATTTAATATTCAATCTTTTCGTGATCGTGATTTAACATCTGAATTAGCCGACAAAAGGTTTTTATCATTGGGCACACATAAATAAATTAAGAATATATTATAATTGAAGTTATACTTACTTTCCAGGTAAAAATTGCAAAAATTTCTTTAAAATTTATTAACTAACTTTAAATTTATTACAACCACTGCTATTTTAATGCATTTTCTCAATTATATATAATTGAAAAAATGCATTAAAATAGCATTATAAATTACAATAATGAAATTATTAAAAAAAGTATAAATAACAATGGACTAAGTTTCATTTTAATAAATTTTTAATAAAAAAACATTTAACAGAAATTAGATAAGAAAAATAAATAACTAATACTAAAAAAAATATTGCATACGTTGTAACATATTGGTTTATACATAGATACAATTCAGAACTTGCATCATCCCAGTAAATACCTCTACCATAATACTCTAATGATGGAAATTCAAACATATATTTAATATAGCATATAATTTAATTTAAACATAATAAAAGCTATAAAACTTCATATATATATACAAAATGGACTATTAAAATTCACCATATCAAATACAATAAAAGAATTGGTATACTATTTGAAATGGTCAGGGTCATTTTAACAAGATTTACTTGTTTAATCATATCGGATTTTTCTCACCCTATTTGAAAATTTTCTTTAATATTAAAATCAATTTTGTAATAGGCACAATCCAAAGTTGAAAAACATTCTTTAACATAGTTATTGTAACGTTTTTCTTTTGAGAAAGATGAGAGTTTTTTACATGCATTAAAAATATTGAAAATAACAAATAGTTTAAAATCTACAAAACAAGATTTTAAAATGAAAAAAAGTTTTACACGTATAGCAAAGTAAATGTTAACCAACTTGCAATGTCTTATGATAATTGCGTGTACCCAGCTAACACAAAACGCTTAACCAACATTGCGAGCGTTCAAGAACGTCCATTGAGCGTTCTTAGAACGTACTCGAACGTTCACAACGTTCGTCAAACTTTCTTGAACGTTTTGTGTTAGCTTGGTAGTCTTTGCTTTGTTAGCTCGCATATTTTACCATGATATAGGAGTTTGAAAAAGTTAGAATTTGTGAGGTCCTCATGCAGTAGATGAACGTAAAATCTATCTTTATTTAAGCATGATATGTGGATTTTTTCTATTATCTAAGATGCATACAAACTATGTTTAAAAAGATTGTTAATATCATAATAAAGACCAAGATTAGTATTGTTAGTTTAGTTCAATCAAAAAAACATTTTATAAGAATCATTTTTTAAAAATAAAGTAAAGCTGTAAAAGATTTATAGTCCATAGTTCATAGTTCAATATATGTTTTTTATTTATATATAGTATTAAACTTTATAAAAAAAACTACAACATTGCAATGAAACTAAAATTTATGCCCATCAAATAAAATAAAATAAAAAGTAAACAAAAAAAGCATTATAGTAAAACCCCGTTCATTCTCACAATACAACATGTTTTATTTTAAATGCGTATGTAATTGTTCTTGTAACACACAGTTTAAAACAACAACAAAACAATACTGCGAGGTTGTTTTGTCAACATAAACAGTTTTTGTTAGTATTAAACAACCTCGACATGTTGTTTTATTTCTGTTTTAAACAGTTTATAACATTAGGAACACAAAACACGTTTAAAATAAAACATGTTTTACCTCCAGTGTGAACAGGACATAAGTTAAAACAAAACAAATTGAGTTAAAAAGCTTGTTAATCTACCATGTCAAAATAGATGGATAAGAATTTGTTTCTCTTTTAACACTTAGATATTATTTCACTCTTTTTATATAACAATATTAAGTTTTTAAAAAATGAAATTTTATAGTTAAATCAAAAACAATTAAATTTTTACAAAACCTAATCAGAAAATTCAAAAGGTTCACTAAAAGAGTAATTTGAGTTTTAAAAAAATTAAGACTTGAAAAAAAGTTGACGATAACATATCCACCACTTTTGGCTTCTTTTTATTTAAATAATTGTAAAATAATAAGAAAAATTATTTAGAGAAAAAGACAGGGAGCGGTAAATTTAGCTAAACTAAAACAGTTTACCCTAAGTTACCAACATTATTAAAATCAAAGTACAATCATCTATAGCATATAAAATCAAGGAGTATATTTGACCTGAGAACAATGAAGGATTAATTGTCAGCCTAGATGTAAAAAACTCGAATTTTAAAAGAAACTTTTTGCGTGTGAAGTGATTAACCTGATGAGTCAAACAGGATAGTAAAGTTTCACAACTAAATCATTTAAAATTTATATAAGTGAAACAAGTAATGCATAAGTAAATTAGATTTTTTTTTTTAAAGAATATATTTTTGATTTAGATTGACAGGCCAAGAACTAGACGTAGTACTGAGATTAGTGATATTATTTAATCATCTTATGTCTAAACAAAAGTAGAGTCTCTAAATGACAATATGTTTGCGATTGCTGCTTTTCTCTCCTTGTAAAAGATTTATGAATAAGTATTAAATTACTTTATTAAGTAAATTATAAACAGTCAAATATGCGTTTATAAATTTTAATAAAAAAAACTTTTTCAAAGTTTATTGATAAGTTTATATACTTAGTTTATTCTTCAGGATGTCATAACAAGATAGAGCGATGAATAATTGAGAAAGGCCAGCCCTTTAAAATATAAACAGTTGAAATATAACAGCTTATAAAGTTTTTAAATACACATTATAATGCAATGGTTTTGATTGCTAACATTGCTTTAAAAAATTTGAACTAAGAATTTAAGTTAAGAGTAAGTAAAGAATATAGATAATTTCAAGATACATTGTTTTTAAGGTAAGAATTCCCCAGTGGCAGGTTTTAGGAGGAGGGGCTGGGGGTAGTAGCCCCCTTCATGGGATATATTTTAAAAATATTTTTCTGTAAATTGACTATTAGACACAAATATGGACTATTATACTGACGAATGAAATTGACTATTATACGTAATTATACGCATATGAACTTGATTTTTACACTAAAGTACAAAAAATTAAAAAAGAAAGTTTCTTAAAAATGAAAATATGCGGAACTTTTTTTTTTTTAACCTTTCTAGCCCCCTCCTTGGCAAGTGAAAAAACACGCCCAAATAGTGCTGGTATAAGCTTTTTTAGTTGAACTAATAAAAAATCAAGGAAAAAATTAATATTAAGCCTGCGTTGAAATTTAAGAATGTCTATCTTTTTTACCGTTAAGAATCATTTATATTGGGATATAGTTTTTATGAATGATCTTCTGAATTTGTTCTTATTATTATATTGAAAAGAGGCTTGGATCTCCACTACAGTATGGTATGTGTGACATTAATAGAAATCAACAATTTTTGAGAACAAAAGTAAAATTATTTGTAGTAAACATGATGACATGATGTTTTTATCCATGCATGAGTTTAGAAATCAGCTAAATATTGTTTTATCGCATGATTTTAAAAACAATGTTACCATCAATAGCTCAACTGTTTGAAAAACATATATACGCATTAGGTACACTAGACTGAATACAACATAAATGCTGTATAAGAATGCGATGTGCGGAAACTTTACCCAAGATTATTAGATTGTTTTCAGCAAATTCATAATAATAATTTCATAAATCAATGGAAGATAAAATTTTTTTAAGTTCAGTGCCAACCTTTTGATTTATGGTCAACAGCCAAAAGTTTTTTGTTTCTAATGATTTCATTTGTTGATCTTAATCCAATCTTAATCCAGGTTTGATCATCCATCTTTAAATAATGAAAAGAGTTTTTTTTTGGGCGTTAAAGGCATGTAACAATAAATTCTACACTGCGTCGAATGAGTTCTTAAACTTGATGACGATAAACTAAGTAGCTTAACTTTATACTTAGATTACATTAAAAGTTCTTTTCTGTTTACTACTGTTGGTTGCAGTTGTATCAAATACTAGAACTGCAACTTTGAATGACATTATCCAAACTTGTCTCAGATAAAGTGTCGCTTTAATTGGATTTATTCTTTATTGTATTCCAGATCATCAATTTGGAAAATTGCTAGTCGTTTTTATGTGTCTCCCAACATATCTTTTACATTCTTACCACCTAAATGCAAAACTTCGTTTTGGGAAAAGTTTTGTTTTACTGTCTTGAAAACGGTTTTTTTTATATTTTGAAAAGTGAGCATTTTTTTAAAAGTCTGTTTGTATTTCTTTTTGCATGGCATATTTCAAAAAACAATGACTGCATTAAATACAATATAAGCAAAAAACTTCCGTTTTTTCACTGATTTTAAAATTCTTTAGATTCCAGTATATAAATAAAACAGATTTTAAAATGTTTCTAAATACAAGCAGTTCGGCCTAATTATTTGACGTGAAAGGGTGATGAATATAATAAATTATTTACATTATAAATATAAATGGTAAAGTTCAACCATGTCCAGGACAACCAGACATAAGAGCTTCTGGGAATATTGTTTTGAGGCTATTGCAAGACATTCCGAGGAATGTCTGTGACAAAGTTTACTTTAATAGCTAGTTTACTTCTATTCCTTTACAAGTAATTCTGCACAAACGAGGAATAGTTTCCTTGGGTACAATGCAAGTAAATCATTAAGAAGTACATTTATTTTCTTTAGATAACGAGCTTACCAGATCTGAAAGAGGTGCAGCAATTTTAAAAACAACCACATATAATGGGGTGCAGCTGAATGCTGTAAAATGGGAGGACAATAAATCAGTGATCCTGCTCAATAGCTATGCGGGTGTCCTACCAATGAAAGAAGTTTCCAGGTTCGACATAAAAAATGAAATTGACATTTATGTTAATTATCCGTCCAACGTGACTATCTATAACTCTTTTATGGGTGGGGTTGACTTGTTAGATTCATTGGTGGCTTTGTACAGAAACCCCTTTTAATCAAAGAAGTTGTACCAACAGCTTGTGCTCTTTCTTTTGTAGCTAATAGTTTTTCAACGTTAACTTTTGTAGAGAGAAGACCACAACCACGAAAGATCCCACATTTTTCTTTGGAAAGACTGATTGAAATAAAAAAGTAATGGTCTGCTAAAACAGATTCTCCTCATTCTCCTCTCCTCATGTCAGGGCCGACAATCTAAGCCACTAGCCAATTTATAGGAACAAAGGGTAAGGTATAAACTATAAGGTATAATCTCACCTGCACAGTGTATTTTTCTATAGTCTATGAGAAATGTAACTTGCGTTTATGCTTGTCAAAAGCATCCGGTTTTTTTTTAAAAAAAAGTTTTAAATTTTTTGCGCCCCAAAATTTTATAACTTTTTTTTTGTTTTATGTTGTATAAAAATATCTAAATGTAAAACTATTAAATATAAAAATAATTTCTTTCTTATCTTTCATTAACATCTAGAAGAATTTTTAGAACTACCCCAACACAAGCATGTACTGTTTTACTAATTTGTTCGACAAATTAGATTCAGTGATTATATTCAATAAAATTCAGTTGTAGAGAGACGTGATAATTAGAAAATTATGGAAATTAATGTCTCCACAAGTCAGCAATATAGAACACTAGCTTGATTAATTAAATCCATAAACACTATAACAAAAGCATAAAAAATTTTTAAAAAATCTTAATTATTGAACAAGAGACTTTGTAGAAAGGCTTAATGGTTTTCTTTGAATACTCATGCTCTTTATTATTATACTTTATTTCTTAACAAATATTTTGCTTGTAAGTTACTTTTTTATATATTTTTGATAACATTATAATAAGAAACAAAAAAAAATACTAAAACAACAATATCGCTCTTGTTTTTCTTAATTAAAAGCCTATTACATTTGTAAAACTCATAACCATAAATGTTAACTAATGTAAATCCATTTTGTTGTACGTGTCTGTAGCAATTATTTGAGAGGTATTCTGAAACTTTTTTAAACTATTAACTATTTAGTTTTACACATTTACTATAATTACATTATTAACAAATATAAAAACCAGTTTCATTTGTGAAACTGTGATAACAACTATTGCGTTTTATGTTATATGACAAAGTGTTAAAAATGGTATTTTAATGGTCTTTCTTTACTATTTAACTCCGATTAGAGCACTTTCAACTAGTTCTACTAATATTCTTATCTTAACCATCAAAAACAATTATTCAATTTGTAGAACTGAATCACAACAGTTCTTGAAGCATTTTTTTTTTGATAAAGTCATGCAAATGAAATTTTTAAACTGAAGATAAAACAAGTTATACAAAAGTCAAACTCAATATTTAATAATGGCAATACCATTTGTTGTTTATATTGTACAATGTAGATGTTGTTTTTTTTGGTTTAGTTGCAATAAAAAAAAAAGCGCTGCAACATTTATTTGCGCTAAGAAAGCAAAAGCTTGTATTTAAAAACATCAGCAAAATGTTTTAATCTATTAAAGATAAAAACAAAAGTGTATCATAAAATAGTAAAAGATAAATTTTTAAATTCTATAATTTCATAACATTGAATTTAGAGATGACTTTTGCCCATGGAATTTAGAGTAGCTTTGACCCTTTGATAAATGTTATAAATATAAATTTAAAAACTACCTGGCTCATGATTCGGAACGGTTGGCATAATATTACTTGTGCAGTTTTCATTATAATATTTTGTTAGCTTTTTAAATGATTTCCAAGATCTACCTTCGTCATTTTCAAAATATAATATCATTGGTACAACAATTGAATAAGATCCACCAAATAAACACCTACTGCTAACCATTGTGACAGTTATATTTTGTTTGACTCCAACTTGATTTATTTTGATAATCTAAAAAAACACATTTTTTTTAGTTTTTTACTAATTTCAGCAAGTTACAGGCTTTTTAACAGGCTTTTTAATTTTTATAAATTCATCAATGATTCAACTGTACCTTATATTTAAGGTTGTTTGAAATGAGTTTTACAACACCTTCTGATGCACCTTCTGTTTGAAGATTTAAAAAAGGTGGTAAGTAATACTCCCATGTTATTCTAACGGCTGATTCTACTGGATCATTGTAGTTAATAACAAAGTTGATATCCAAAACATTTCTGTTCAATTAATAAGACTAATAAAATTTTAAAATATCAAACATTTAATTACTTCAAAAAATAATAATTTAAGATGTTTAAAATGGAAGTATCTTACTTAAACTCGATATTTTGATGTTTTTAATGTTATAAGTTTGTACAATTGCATATTTTTACAATCAAACACCTTTTCTAGTGTTAACTTGCTTTTTAGATTAATCTTGAATATTTTTAATGTCGTATTACTAATAATAAGATTAAAATCAAAGGTTCGTAAGCTCCTTCAATCATTACAACAAGTAAATTTTAAACTTTTATAAATATTTATAATGATTTTTAAGATTCTGATAATAAAACTTAAATCATTTTTATAAAGTTGAACATAAACAGTACTTAAAAACGTTTGTTTGGCCTGTAAAATCAATAATAACCCAGAATAAGTTAAACTTGGCTACTGGCAAATATTTTAAGTAACTCAAAAACTAAATATTACCTTGATTTAAATAAATAAAAAACTTTATGTATAATCAAAACTGTTAAAAAAATGTTTTATTTTTTTAAGGAAACGTTTCTTTACAAAAACTAAAGTTGAGTTATATATGATTTTATAGCGTTAAATTTAATATTGTTACGCCTAATTTCTTATTTTTTTTAAAGAAAATTATTATGATAATACTCTAGTAGAGCATATGTGTTGGAAGTGATTATTACAGTTAAGTATTTTAATTGTAAAACTAAAATGTTTAATTGTAATTTTGACATGAAAGACGAAAGTTGACTAGCAGGTGGTAATATTTACAAACATCAAACTAAGTATTCTGGAAATTAAATGCTTACTAATTTGTGCATTTTCTCAATTTAACCACAACTATTTTAATTATTCTATTTATTTGCATTTGATCTTGGGCTATAATTTAAAATACATTTTTCATAAAAACTCGTGTCAAACGCAATAATTCTCTGAATGATTAAAAATTGTAACTAAGTTCCTAAAATTATAGGAATAATGTATAAAACAAAAAATACTTTAAACATTCACATTTAACACAACTATATTTCTCTATTATCCATTGTCATAAAAATTATGCAAACCCTTTGTGGGGTAATGCCAATAAATCTAAATTGTTACCACTTTATCGTCAGCAGAAGCATGTTGCTTGTCTAATGAATTATAAGGTTAGATTTGCTTGTTAGGGTGATCCGAAATAAATTTTTTTCTGGTTTTTGACTGCAAAAAACTTGCCTTTAGGGTACCTAAGGATAATGCAAAAAAAATAATATTTTACGTCTGGAGCTAGTGCGTCGCGCTAAAATAATGGAAGAAATATTCCCTTTTTATAAATTTCTAACAAATAAAATGAAATTCAATAAATTCTTTACCAAATATCAAAAGAGAATTTAAGTGGAAAAAGGTATTGGAGTGGTAAATAAGAAATCTCTTTTTTTTAATAAAAAGTCATCTTATCAACTAAAACTTTTTTGAAGAAATATATTCTTTTACTTTTTGCTACTTTCTGTCGGTAATTTAAAGTGTGATTTTCTTGAAAAATTAGACATTGAGGATCTGAAGTTATATGTAGTTCCTAAAATGCCATCTCTGGAATTGAAGCCAGCTACTTTTGTGAAGCCTCTAATCCAAGCTTTACACATCGTTCTACTGCTTGGTTGTGATATGGAAACTTTTTAAAGTTCCACTCTGTTGTTTCACCTGATTGGATCTTTGACCAAATATCTTTATCTGAGACTCTTTGCAGCAAAGATGGCGGCAAAAACGTAGTAGTATTCTAGTCAATCATCTCTGTATAGTCAGGAAATTAATTTTGGGCGGTTGAAAACTTTTGAAAAACTTTCTTTAAGAAGCTAGACTTCTTGCCTTTATAATTCTTCTAAAACCTAATTACCTAATATGAACCCGTTTGTTTACTACCATTATTAAAAAAAAGTTTTCTAAATATGCAAACAAAGCGTTTCTCTCAATTACTGAGTCTATTTCATATAGAAAAATCCTTGGGCAGGAATCTTGACAATTTTATTATTTCAAATACATGTTCTGCTCCATTTGTAAAATATTTACCTTTTGTATATGTACGTATGACTTTAAAAGAAAAGAAACTAAGATATTTTGCTCCTCTGTTGGGGTTTTAAGGCTCAAATACAATCATAAAACTCTGTTTGCAGTTGTTGACCTCCTTGAGTGAGAAATTGGTCCAGGTTCACGAACAGATAAATCTTTACAACAACTGTCTGATAGCAAAACTTATATCCAACATGAACTGTTGATCTTTGCGAACAATTTCTGGAATTTCACAATCAACACTGACAAATTTTACCACTGGTAGTTTCTCGCATTTTTTAAACTGTGCGCCAATCGGACCGCTAAACGATTTTGGGCTTTTTATATTTTTTTAGTTGTGGGAATAACACCGGATTTTCATTCCATGTTAGTAACAGTGCATTTGCATCCAAATACGTTTAGTTCATGAATTGAAAATGCAGTTTTATTCAAATATGAAATAATACTAAAGGAAATGTTTACAGCAGACCGAGAAGTTGGTAAAACATGACCAACGTACAGGGAACCTGGTTCTTTTAAAATTGAGAAATAGCTGCCGTTGCTCTGTCTGATAATCTATAGCAATCGCTAGTAAGAGCAATAATTTTCATTGTAATGCGCATCTGCCATGAAAACTTAGTTAAATTAAATTCATCTGATTCTTCATCGATGACTTTTTATTAAAACAACACTTGATCATAAGTTGGAAGTTTGTTTACAGACAATTCTATTGGATGATCAAAAATTGAGCAGTTACATTCGCTACAAGTATTTTTTTTTAAACAGCCATGACATATTAGTTAATATTATCAAATAATCAAAACATTATTATATCAAAACAAGTTGTTTTAGCGAGAAACTCACCAATTTTGCAGCGCATTTTGGGAATACTCTAATTCGAACTTTATTACAAAAATGATAAAAAAGGAGTATTAATTCAAATACTCGAGTACGATGCGCTAGTTCCAGACGTAAAATATTTGTATCGTTATATTTTTTTTTTTAAACATTTTCCTTAGATACCCTTGAGGTATGTTTTCCGCAGTATAGTGAATCAAAAATCAAAAAAAAAAAGTTCGGCCCAACCTATTGCTCATTCCAAGCGTCTCTTATTTGAAATGATAACTCTAAATATTTATTAGCTGAATATTTTTGACATATTTGTTTTATGTAAAAATGTAAAACTAACGTACCTCCTGTTTCTTTTCATAATCTATATACCTTTAAAGATAAAAGTAAATACAACTAAAGAAATGATAATTTAATTCAACAACCTTTTTTTCAAACTAATTTTGGAAAGTCGAGTATTTCATTTTAAGGAGCAATTCTTTGGAACTTTGGAATTCTTTAATTTTTTCTTCGAATGGAATTATTATTTATTCAAAAAAAAAAAACTAAAACAATCATTTTTTCTATCGAAGATTTTTATATTATTAACGCCTTTATGTCAAATAAATATTTAATACATATATTATATAACATATGATAGTTTATCATATCCTCATGATTTGATGGTTTCATAAAAATAGTTTTTTCCGATTTTTTGTTATATCTAGAATTTATTATTTCTTGATATTTTTGTGGTTCTCTGCGACAAGACCAAATGGTCTTATTTGAGTCTCCGCATTTTTTAGATTTTATTTTTATTGATAAACTCATTTGCATTAATTTTTTTTTTTCTTTTTTGTTTGTTGTATGAAAATGAACAATAAATGTAAAATATAGAATAAAAAAAAGTAGAATAAAATAAAAAAATAAAGGGATATTGAGCGTTTATTTATTATGTACATTCAACTGTTATAACCACAAAATATTAAAAAACTACTTCACTTTAAACGAGCAATAAAACATTTGTAAAAATTCCTTTGATTATTAAATGTTTAAAAATTTTTTTATTGTAAAGTTTAATTTTTTGAAAAAATTCCATAGAACTAATTCATTCTCTCACTTTCAATACAAACAGTTTTACTGAATTATTTTGATTCACTTTTAAATATAGTAAAATTAATATATTATGGGAATTCAATTTTTATAGCTTTTATTTTTTTCAATATAACCGCAGTTATTCATCTGTTCATTTTATATTTTATATTCGTATGTTTATATTTTATATTTATATTTTTCTGTCTATTTACCTTTCCGTTATTTAGCAAAACAAATTCTATTCGCTAATAATCTCAATTATTTGACGATGCGTCTTTTAGAAAAAGTAACTTCTCAATTATTTGCCTCAGTGGAGAAGAAATGCTTTAAACCTAAATATTTTACGAAAATGAAAAGAGACTTTATGAAACATTTTTTGACGGTAATGTATAAAAGAGTGTCTGGTCCATCCTTTCCATGTGTTTTTTTTTACGTTGGGACTCACCTTTTACCCTGTAGAACCCATAATCTAGCTTAATTCTTTTGTTTAAAAAATATCTCGCTCATTTTTTTACGTTGAGACTGACCTTTTACCCTTTACAACCCATAATCTAGCTCAATTCTTTTGTTTTGAAAGTACCGAATTTTTTTGGGATTCTTTATGATTAGGTTTGCCGCTATCTTTTGGAATTAATAAATAATTTTAAAGTGCTTAAAATATACATTAGTAAGTCTTTTAAAAACGTCCATTTAAAATATTTATTTTTATTATATTTTTTTTTTTGCGCCAATATCGTTTACGTTATCACTGAGATACAGTTTCAATTTTTTTATGAAATCGCAGATGAATACATATTGTAAAACTTTTTTTTTTTTTGTTTTTTTGTTTTTTTTTACATTAATTAAGCCCTTTTGTATGAATTAGTGGAAATGTGTCAATTACATCAATAAAAATCTGGTAACGAAACCAGGTCATAAACGCTTGAATTAATGACCTTTTTTTTGTAAGATTCGTTTTGAGTAATATTAAGCAAATAAAACTGATCGAGTTTTTTGAGTAACTTTTTACATTAAACTTGAATTACTTAAATTTATTTTAGTGAATTGATTAGAATACGCTTTAATAATATTTTTTTATGCAACCTTTTGATTTTTTTCTTTTGTTATATTATCAAAAAGCATTTTTTAGCATAAAAATCCAAAAGAAAAAAAATTAATTTTGTCCTTTTTTAAAGCTATTAACGGGTGACAACTAAAAAACGATACTGGATTTAAAGACACATATCTCCGTAAAGAAATAAGATTTTAAAAATAGGAAAACTGTTTTAGAAGGTATTTTTATTTTAGTTTTTAAATAATTTATGTGTTTTTACTTTTTATAGAAAAATAAATAAAAAAATAAATTCAAAACAAGAAGAGATTAGAAAACGTGTGTATGAATTTTATTTAAATTAAATAAATGCTTGTTAAAAGTTCACTTATGACCACTTTAAAGTTGAGAATATACCTAAAAGTACTATCTATAAGGTAATTAAACGTGCTGAAAGTGAATCTGGGTACCAAAGAGTTCAAGAAAGTGGAGTAAAAGCTAAAAAAATGACCAGGACAAACATTGAAAGGCTCAAACTCAAGTTTGACCGAAAAGACGGAGTTCTTCAACGACAGGCAGCCAAAAAATTTAACTGTACTCAGCAACACATTAGTAAAATATTAAAAAAAGAACAAATGTTAAATTAAGAAAAAAATGACAATTTCAAAACGCTCTGACCAGCAAAAAGCAGCAGCTAGAGCTAAGTGCAGTCGATTGTGTCAGAAATTCAAAAATCGTAAACCAATCATTGACGACGAGTCTTATTTCACGTTAAATCACTCCAGTATTAATGGAAATTATATATTTTATACTAGTGATGTAAAATCTACTCTACAGTTAAATACCAAACAAAACAAAAGTTTCAAAAGAAATTACTTCTATGGATTGCTTTTTCTGAAAATGGATTTTCTCAACCTTATTTTGTACCAAGTGGACTGGCTGTAAACCAAAAAATCTATTTAAACAAATGTATAAAGAAGAGACTTATTCCATTCATCAATAGGTATCACTCAGAAGGTACATATGTATTCTGGCTAGATTTAGCATTCTCTCACTATGCAAAAACAGTAATTATGTGTCTAAACAAGGAAAACATGCATTATGTTGAGAAAGCGGATAACCCTGCAAACTCACCAGAATATCGCCCTATTAAAAATCTTTGGAGTATTTTGTAAGGCCTTGTCTACAAGAATAACTGGCATGCAGAAAATCTTAAAAAATTACGTTCTAGAACCAAGAATCGTCCTAATAAATTTGATATTGAGCTTATACGTAGGCTAGCTCAGTCTATACCATGTGAGTTGATAAAGTCAAAAGAAATGGTGTAATTGAGAACAACTGATTATATATTTAAAAACTAGAATAAAAATACTTTCTAGAACATTTTTTCTTTTTGTTTTATCTTATTTCTTTAAAGAGATATGTGTCTTTAAATCCAGTCTCGTTTTTTAGTTGTCACCCGTTATGCCCCACTGTGAAATGTCATTTAGAAAATGAGTTTTTTACAGAAATACTTTAATGTTAAAATTTAATGTAACATATAAAATAAAACAAATGTTCAGTTTATTAAACATCAAGCAGAAATTAATTTGTTTAGAGAGTAACCATTTTAAAACAAATATGAGAGTTAATCTGAAAATCTTGCATGTTAAAAAATCATTTAAAACGATATAAAAAGTAAAGTTTTTTTAAAAAGTTAATTTAATTGTTATATTTATTAATGCTAAGTAAATATTTTTGGGGAATATGTTTTTGATAAAACATATATTCAAAACGAGTTTACTAACAAAAGTTAAAACCAAATAATCTAAAAAAAAATTAACAATTGTTTTAAAACAAAATAACTTAAAATTACTTGCCCAAATATATTTCCGTCATAAGTAACATTCAAAAATGGTTCATAGTACAAGTTGCAATCTGGAAAAAAAATATGCAAGTGTACAACTTTAAGAAATCAATTTTCTTTTTAATTAGTTTTAATATTTTTTAATATTTGTAATATTTACTTGTGTGAAGTCGTATACATGTTTACCATCAGAAAGTTGGACTGTCATTTAACTAACCGTCTCAGATTTTTTCATTCTTTGTAATTATGGTCATCTGTGTCAAAAAAATTACCTTTCAAAATTTTATCATTGATGTTAAATGGATATTTTTTGGAAACTTTTTGGTACAGCGACTATACTAATTTAACTATAGATTTTGTTGTACAGGTTACTATACACGCGATGAAGCTGAAAACTTGTACCATTTTTTTTTAAAGAAGAGGAATCAGAATAAGATATTTGATCTCCATAAAAGCAATTAGAGTTGTGTTAGTATTGCAATTGTACTTCATTAAGAGGAGTCTTCCTCAAAAAATGTAGCAAAGTCAAAACAAACTAGGAAAGCATTATACTTATTTTTAATTGCTTTTTTTTTACTTTTATAAAAACATTTTAAAGTACTTTTGTTTGCAATTGAAAGGTGGTCTTTTTGATGATTTTTATGAATAAATAAACAAAAATTTTATCATAAAAATACATTTAGATGTTAAAATTTAATTATTTTGAAGACTTTCTTTATAAAAATATTCATTATCTGCTAATTAAAATAAAGTATTAGATACCTATGTAAACAATAATAACTCCAAAAAATTAGCGTAATTCAACTTTTGAATAAAAATACATTTTATTAGAAACATTTGAACATTTGGTTTTTGTCTTGATATTGAAAATGCGTGTTTTTTATTTTAAAATTAAGATATGATGTTTAAAAAACCCAACAACATCCCTATTTGCCGAATGTATATAACGATAAATAAAGTATGGATACATGAACTTTACAAGTATGTTATTTTTGTCACCAGTTTCTGACGCAACTCAACTTGGTCTGAGTCTCTTTTGACACTTTGTTTTATCCAGTGGAATAAACTGGTGCAAACTTTTCATACAAGATATAGTCCTAAACCTAGTATTCACATACTAACAAGTTAACTTACCTTTAAGAAACAAGAAGTAATTGCTAAATACTTTATTTTAAGTAAAATTGAATATCTCCTTAGTTTTCAACATTTGAAAATCAATTGGACTTTTATGACTAGCATTTAAACGAGCCTTTTAACTGTTTTGTCATTGTCATTACATTATGACATTTTATCAGAATAAAAGAATTTTCAATTGCAAACCAACCCAAAATCTTTTCAATGGTGGCATAAATTTAAAAAAATTTTTGCAAATTTTGTACTATCAAGTGCAACTGTCAGAAAAACAGTGTTTATGGTATTGAGAAATAGTAGACAGTTATTTTTAAATTAAATGTAAAGTTGAAAAAACTTTTATAACTAGTTACGTAGAAGCTCCAAAATCTTTAGAAACTCTTAGAACTAAGTTTAATAAGAAATATATCAAACCAACATTAAAGCTATTTCCTTTAGTTTATAATTTAACTTTAGTTTAACAACCAATGATAAGTTGGTGGAATTATGTAATACAACTCAATATTAGGTGAGCATTGTATCCTGTTCAAGGAATGATCAGTTTCTTACATTTTATTGAACAATATTAATTGAGTTTAAATAACCTTAGTTGACTAAGTATGAAATGTCGTATCTTGCTTGTTAATATTTTTTATAAAGTTTTTTATTAACTTTTTCTCTCTTTTGATAGTTTATTACTTAAAAATCTCTTAAAGAAAAATTTAGTATACCTAAAATAAGAACTTTCCTGTACAGCTTATATGCTTGGCATCTTGACAGTTATGACTCCACTGATATTGTTTGTTAACAATTTGAGTACTTTTATATAATTAGTTTTTCGTTATTTTTGCAAAAAAAAAAGTAGTTGTTAATTTTTACTTTGAAAAAAGTAGTGCCATGCTGCTTGAAAAAACAACTTTTATTGTAATTATTTTTAATTGCTTATGCGACACAAAGATCGCAAAAAGTGACCAACTGAACCGTAGACCTGGGAGATAAGAGAATAAAAGCAGATTGTAAATGGTGTCGTTGAATAAAAAATAAAAATCATAAGAAAATGTCAAATGTGTGGCAAGACTTTTGTGAAGTATAAGAAAGAAGACTAGATGCAAAAGAAGGCAATGGGAGAAACAACTTGCAAAAAAGAATAAATATTTAATCTACTGATTTTAGAGGCTGTTGATGTCTCCTGGTGTGATAATGTAGTCTATTAGTATATTCCGTTTTTTGTTGTCTAGTATGGACTCGTTATGTTTTCGTTCTCTATCAAATTAGGTGAATAGAAAGCTAAACACACGTACTTCCCCTGTTTTGTAAAAAAAAAATACCGACTCCGACTCCAGTTGTTGAAATTTTTTGAGTACGACTCCGACTCCGTCTCCAACTCCGACAAAATTTTTGAAAAACTCTTAAAAAAATATTACGCGATAAGTGAAGGATTTTTTTTTTGACAAAACAATGAAACATTCTTTGAGATTTAATATAAATATAATGTTAATTGAATATTTTATACATGCGAGTGCAACTCCACGACTTTGACTCTGAATCCACAGCCCTGCTCGTTTCTTGCACTTGAGGACTAGCACATTAGAAAACTTAAAGAATGGATTTCAATTAATCGAATGCAAACATTAGTCACCTTAGTTACTAATGTTGTGCTATGATGTTAGATTTTTGATCCGAGCACATAGTCAGCGAGCGCTGATCCGATGTGCTTTGTTGAAATTCCGAATAAACGTGTGCGTGATTGTCACCGTAGTCAATAGATTATTGAGCGCCGTAACCGCATCTAGCGGGATAGCCTAATGTCCGTTTGCCGTTGAGGTGTACATTTGAAGAAGTTGAGACTCACCAGCCTCAAAGAAAAAGTTTTGATTGTTTATTTGACAAAAAGATTGCAAAAAGCAACCTACTTAGCTGCCAAGTTACGTAGATTTGGAAGATGTGATAATAAAATCGGATTTTAAATGATGTTGTTTAGGTAAAAATAATAAAATAATGTAAAGACTATTTAGTAGGAGGAAATTTATTTAACGACCCAGGAAGAAGGGGAACCATAATTCACACTCTAGTTATCTTTGGCAAATGACAATGGTCTGTGAGTAAATAAGTCAATGTAAATCCGCGTGTTCATTAATGGCAACCATGGCTAAAAATATTGCACCATACAAAAACAATCAAATGAAAAAAGGAAATCACAAAATATTAAGTAAAATGATAATAAATGATACTTTGGCCAACAAAAACAAATAAAAATAGGATAATAAATGTAGTACTATTTATGGTCTAAACTAGATAATAAAATGTAAACTGATAATCACCTGTGTAACATAAAAATATATAAATGTTAGTAATGTAACAAGTTTATGTTATAAAGCTCACAAAATGCTAAAAATAAAGAGTATGGAAGATAAACAAATTTTGGCGCCATATTAAAACATTTAGAAGTAGTTGATGAATGGTGATTCTCCTCCTCAGGAATGCAATGCGACCACTAACAATATTTTAAAGAGCCCGAGACCTGCACTAACGTCACTTGTCATGAACGTGTCCTTGCAACAGATCTCACCGTTATGTTGTCAACATTGCAATATAATACATGCTAGTCAAGGTTGCAATACAAAATGACTACACTACAAAAAGCCAAAATTTGCAATCCCTATCCCAGTTTTTATTACAGCTCAAATATTCGAGATCTTGTGAGGTGTGAGGGTAGTAAGGAATGCGCGTGGTGCGACCATAAACAAATATGCAAATACATATAAATATCGTTTGCACTTACACTAGTAGAGACAAACGTGTACACATGCACGTATGCGTATGTATTAAGATAAGCAGTTTTAAAGCACAGAAATAACACAAATCAAAAAAAAAATAGTAAATGCTTATAATTAACACTTAATTTAACACTGTTGTTAATCATTCGTGCAAGTTTACACAGAGTTTTATAAATAAGATTCAGCATGCATGGCTGTTTAATATTCCTTTTTATATTTTTGACCACGCAATGAAATATTTTTGAATCTTTATAATCTGTTAATATCTGCTTAATCAGTAATAAAATGGAAAACTTTGCTTCATCAGCTTAAATAGTAATAAAATCGAAAACGTTTTAATTTGATGACTTCTGTAGTAAAGGATGAACCTTATGTTGTTTTTAAGATAGTATAGTAACTTTCAAAGTCAGGTATTTTATTCAATTCATGCATTTTAATAATAACATAATTTAAGTCTTTTGCCAATTATATTCAAAGTATATTTAATAATTATAATGACTTATATAATGACTTTAGAAGACGATGCTTTTTTCAAAGGTCAAAACGTCAAACTCTTTAAAAGGTTAGTGCTAATATCTAAATCCTTGCATCTTACATGATCAACTTAATGTTGCATGTTAACAAGATCTTTTTATATCTTGTTTTAAAGAAAATCTGTTTGCTTATATAGTATAAAAAACCAGGTCGTTTTTTTTTTTTTTTTAGACTGTTAAACATTTATCACAAGGTATATCATTAAACATAAATCCTTGTGATTTATATATTTTTCTTAATTTTTATATTTAATTATGTTAGTGTGTTTTTTATTATGTGTTTAAATGTGTTAAGGTAAAATGGGTTTATATTTTGTAACTGTGTAAATATCTTTTATATATAAAGTGTTTCTATGTTTTTAATTTGTTGTAATGTTATGTGTTTATAGTTTTTGCATTTGTTTTTTGTAAGTCTTATGTTGTTTGCATGGTATAAAATTGTAGCTTGGCTTAGTTTACAGCAAGCGTATTCACCTAGCTAAGTGTTGTACTTTTCTATAATGTGATTTGGCTTTGTTGAGAGCAAGATTGTTCTTCGTGCCAGTTAAGTGGTGAACTGTCATGATGAAACATAAATTAAATCTGTTAATAGTTAGTGTAATCATAAAATGTCTTGAAAAAATATTGTTGAAAGGATGTGTTTATAAGAAA